GTGTACTGTGTACGACGAATTGAATGATACAAGTACGATTTAACTAATTATGTGAATTGAGGTCAGCTCAGTGTTTGAATTTTTATCAAAAGGAAATATTGAGTTATAAGTGTATTCGTAATAACATAGATTGATTTCCGATTCGGGAGAAGGATTAAATATTAAATATTCGTACTTTGTCTGAAATTTCACAAAGGATAACTGCACTTAACACTGGGTTTTGGGTCTTTTTCCGTCGCTCCTGCTGCTTTTATATCTTAACCCTATTTCACTTTTGTATATTTACTATGGAATTCTATCAACTTGGCACCAAATTTAAATGTTAAAATGATTTTAGACTGTCATACAATCTGAATAATTCTATGTTTTTTTATCCCTACTCCTTTCCAAATATAGAGATTTTACACTTACCTGCCCTTGATTAAACATTTGGCATGCATGAGAGGTGGAGCTAACATTGTAAGAATGTCTCTAAAATTAGACTAGATAAATAACAATGACGTGTTAAAATATGTGATCACTCTTTCCCATCTCTCTCTTTATCCTTTATGGCACAAGTACACAGCTATAGTATTTACAAAGGTTTCAAAATGAAATTAACAATATGAGCACGTACACGTAAGTAAAGAATATTTTGAATCGATGCCTGACAATTCAACGTGTTCGAGAAGAGTGTCCTAGTTAGCACAAAACATGCTATCTTACAAGTCACGTGACAGAATTTAGTATTCACAGAGTTACCTAAGGTAGGACATCATGTGGTGAATTATAATATTCAACATGCCATAGCCTTTGGTTACAACAGTGAGAGCAAATGTAAGAAGAAGCAGTTTTTTCTCTTTTAAACCATGAGCGCATGTTTGTCTATTAATCTCCTTTTGACACAATATAATTAATGCAAATATACAACTACAGTTAAACGGAGAACAATAGACAAACAGCGCTGACTATGTATAAAGTCAGTGAAAAAGTGGGCGTCCTCATTATCGTACGGTGATTCAAGGAATTGTGATGACCCCCGCCTTAGAAAACAGCTTCGTACTTCGTAAATACATACTTTTATTTAATGTAATTATGTAAAGTTGTAGATTACATGTTGACCATTCCTGCAATTAAAAGAAAAATACTTGTTTTGAAAGTTTATTTTGTCGCAATTTTCGCATGTCCTTAAGTGCAGTCATCCTTTCCACTGTTCATATAATATCCAATTTTTTCCTTCTTGACATGTACATGTCGATATTGTCAAGATTGCGCAAAACACACATGGTGTCTAATTTATCCTTTATCACTGTTTATCAAACAGTTCTTATATATTTACAATTTTCTGTAGCAATAATGTCATCTAAAGTCCGCCGACAACCTATTGTATGAAAATCTTTCCACATGCTCCTGTGCTATAAATAGTGCCACGCGACTTTTAATGCAAACGGGATGTCTCTAAAACTATTACCTCGATAGATGCCAACTGAATATAGCAAAACCTAATATATATTTTTGATAACAAAAAACAAACAAACAAAACAAAACAATGTGGCAGGACATTTTGAGAGAGGCAGGTGGGGATGAGAATCTAAAGATTAATTCTATCTGGCCAATGGAAGGATATTTTTCTTGGTAAACTCTTGCTACGATTGATATAGGCCTAATCTTAAATGGACTTCTGTGTTCCTGTGGTAACTTTGCCTACCGTATGGTCTTTCTGGTGAAAGAAATGAAACGTTTCTCAGTTATAGCTAAAAGCTGACAAAATTTTTAAAATTTCATTAACCTAACTGATTAATGCAGAAACTGTTCGTTTTTTACATTCCTCTTTCAAAAACACTTATTTCGATAACAAGCTAAAAATCACATTAGATGTCAAAAGAGCAATAGATTAACAAAATACTCTTTGATTATTTTGCTGAAAAGCAAAATCTGCATTGATTTGAAAATCAGGGAGTAAATACACTTTGAGGTAAAAAATTATCTTGAGTTCTGGACATCTAATAATAACCCTGATCATAAGTAATTCTAGTACTGTCTGATGGTACGACATCTGATAATAACTCTGATCTAGACTTTATCTAGTACTGCCTGATGGTATACATCTGATAATAACTCTGATCTAGACTTTATCTAGTACTGCCTGATGGTATACTAGGAGTGAAACGGTTCACCGCGGTATCGATGCACCGCGGTATTTTTTCTCGGTTTGATACACGGTGCAAAATCTCTAATTTTCGGTTCGGTTCATTTTTCGGTCGGGATCGTTATTCAGTCGGGTTTGGCATAAGGTATAACACGTTACTCAGAATAAATAAGTATAGAAAACGTAAATTTTTGATGACTGATAGGTTGTAAAATAATTTTTGACAGTCAAATAATTTCAATCAATATCTTCTAGTCAATTTGCAAATAAAATTCGTAAAATATGTGACTAGATTTAGAAAAAGAAAGCATAAAACAACGTAGAATTTGTTTCCTTTTATCAAAATGTATCGTATCGAAAATAACCGAACCGAGACAAAATTATACAATACGTATCGAACCGTGAAGGAGGTGTATCGTTTCACCCCTATGGTATACATCTGATAATAACCCTGATCATAAGTAATTCTAGTACTGTCTGATGGTACGACATCTGATAATAACTCTGATCTAGACTTTATCTGGTACTGCCTGATGGTATACATCTGATAATAACTCTGATCATAAGTAATTCTAGTACTGTCTGATGGTAAGACATCTGATAATAACTCTGATCTAGACTTTATCTGGTACTGTCTGATGGTACGACATCTGATAATAACTCTGATCTAGACTTTATCTAGTACTGCCTGATGGTATACATCTGATAATAACCCTGACCGTAAGTAATTCTAGTACTGCCGGATGGTACGACATCTGATAAAAACTCTCACTGTTAGTAGTTCTAGCACTGCCTGATGAAATGACATCTTATAATAACCCTAAACCATAGGTAAATCTAGTACGTGGTGTATTGCCTGATGGTACGACATCTGATAATAACTCTGACGTAAGCTAAATTTAGTACCCCTTTCACATCAGACAAACAAGCATTCTGAGAGTATTGCATAAGCAATACTAGTCCCCTACCGGCAAGTGTAATCTGGTCCCCGTTAAAAATTGAAAATGCCATAATTCCGTCAAAAATCAATGAAGTGGAACGAAATGTGAACTTGATCTATAACTCATCAAGGTTAAGTCACATACCAAAAATCAGCTCAATATCTGCAAGCGTTTAGAAAAAAGGTGCGGAAAACCATGAAAAATTGAAAAGGCAGTAATTCCGTCAAATATCATTGAAGCGGAACGAAATGCAAACTTGATCTGTAACTCATCAAGATACACTCACATACCATAAATCAGCTCAATATCTGCAAGCGTTTAGAAAAAAAGTGCGGAAAAACAAGTGGGACAGACTGACAGACAGACAGAGGGAAAGACAGATGGACAGACAGACAGAGGGAAAGACAGATGGATAGACAGACAGACAGACGGACGGACAGACTCAGAAGAAACCTTAAGTCTCCTCTGGTTTCACCGGTAGGGGACTAATAAATTCTGACCAAGACATAATTTAGTACTAGGTAAGACATTCAGTATGATCAATCTCCATTGCATGTCTTCATGACATCAGACAATTACCCTGATTTAGACTATACAGTACTAACTGCTCCCGATATTAACACCAAAACAAACCCTGACCCGGATTTTAAAATAATCTCCCACTTATTTACTAGGATTGTCTTCTCTGTTGACATGAATATTAGATTTTGTGATAATTGTCTTAAACTTTTTACTTTTCAAATGACCTTTAAACAAAGGAAGAGTTGAGCATGCTGAGAAAAGACAAATTTAACAAGCATTCTGAGAGTATTGCATTAGCAATACTAGTCCCCTACCGGCAAGTGTAATCTGGTTCCCGTTAAGAATTGAAAATGCCATAATTCCGTCAAAAATTAATGAAGCGGGACGAAATGCAAACTTGTTCTATAAGTAATCAAGGTAAAGCCACATACCAAAAATCAGCTCAATATCTACAAGCGTTTAGAAGAAAATTGCGGAAAACCCTTAAAAATTGAAAAGGCCGTAATTCCGTCAAAAATCAATGAAGCGGAACGAAATGCAAACTTGATCTGTAACTCATCAAGATACACTCACATACCAAAAATCAGCTCAATATCTGCAAGCGTTTAGGAAAAAAGTGCGGAAAACCAAGTGGGACAGACTGACAGACAGACAGAGGGACAGACAGACAGACAGACGGACAGACAGAGAGACAGACGGACGGACAGACGGACGGACAGACTCAGAGGAAACCTTTAGTCCCCTCCGGTTTCACCGGTAGGGGACTAACAAGCATTCTGAGAGTATTGCATTAGCAATACTAGTCCCCTACCGGCAAGTGTAATCTGGTTCCCGTTAAGAATTGAAAATGTCATATCTCCGTCAAAAATCAATGATGCGGAACGAAATGCAAACTTGATCTATAACTAATCAAGGTAAAGTCACATACCAAAAATCAGCTCAATATCTGAAAGCGTTCAGAAGAAAATTGCGGAAAACCCTTAAAAATTGAAAAGGCCGTAATTCCGTCAAAAATCAATGAAGCGGAACGAAATGCAAACTTGATCTGTAACTCATCAAGATACACTCACATGCCAAAAATCAGCTCAATATCTGCAAGCGTTTAGGAAAAAAGTGCGGAAAACCAAGTGGGACAGACTGACAGACAGACAGAGGGACAGACAGACAGGCGGACAGACAGACAGACAGACGGATGGACAGACGGACGGACAGACTCAGAGGAAACCTATAGTCCCCTCCGGTTTCACCGGTAGGGGACTAATTAAATGATGTATTGGCAAATATCAAATACCATAACTTTTAATAGAGCCAATTTGTAAGCTAAAAGGTGTCTGTGAAACAAATTTTTAAAATTTGAACCAAAAAATTCATTCTTGAATATAATGACAAGCTTTAGTCTCTTTACTCACCAGTCCTGAACTCAGCCTCAAATCTGTTAAGTTTTGTTAAGGGAGGTGTTTCCCCTTTTTTTTCTGGTGAAATGACACGAAACCTAACACTCTCCCTTGTGACTGGCAAGAACTCCTCTGCCTCCCTGTAAAGAGAATTTCACTTTCAACAATTTGATACATCAAAGACACAGCATACATTAGCTATTTAAGCATTTATTTACATTTCATGGTATTAATATTGATTTATGCTGTTTAAAGTCCATTCCAGAATGTTTCTCTCATATAGAGATGTCACCTTATGCCAGTGAAGTGTTTCAAGTTTAGACTTATACTCAGCACTCAGGGCCATTGAGGAGTGCTAATCTACCATGACACAGGGCCTCATTTTTTAAGGTTTTATCTGAAAGACCCTTCATAGTGCAGGAACGGTCACTGCCTTTGTTTATGTCTTTGGTTTAATGTGGCGCGGCAAACAAGAATTGAACCCGGGCCTTCCGATCGCGAAGCAAAAGTCCAACCACTAAGCTAGCTACTGTGACTGGTCAGTGGACCTTTTCACAAAATATCTTACAACTAAAACAAAAAATTTCCAATTCTCCAAAAAGTACCTAAGCTATAGAAAGTCACCATAACTCTTACATTCATACTACATAGCAAAATATTGTGAAAGTATTTAATCAATAGAAAGTCACCATAACTCTTTTATTTATACTACATAGCAATATATTGTAATATTTTTGAAAAAATTAATATTATATAACAAACAAAAAAATTACAGAGTTGTTAAATTTTTATCTTATTCATAAGATTTTCTGTTAAAAGGGCAACATGGTATTAAGACATAATAATCTTTAAGAAAGGTATTAAATGAGTTAACTCCTGAAGCATCTTTTAGTACTGCCTACACAATTATTTTTGCCCCATGACATTTTTGACTACTGTAGAAGTACTTTTTTTGCACGTAGTAATAATAATTATACTGAAACCTGAAAGATAAAGTGAAACATACTAGATGCAACATCCATACATCTCTGATCAATACATTGTATAGGGATGAAAAGTATGTGGAGAGAAATCTTGGATGCTGGATGCCTACATCAATGCTGATGGTATTACATAAGCCCCCCCCCCCCCCCCCTTCTAACTTCAATGAGGTGAGTTAATAAAAGTTATTTATAAGTGATACATGTGTACTTTATAATATATGAATGTTACAGAAAATGTGTATCTTATGCCCTGTTCACACGGAGAATTTAATTCGAATTAAACGTAAGTTACTGCGAATTAAATTTGATCCGCGTTCACACGGAGAATTTAATGCAAATTAGTTTAACTCGAATTAGTTTACTGCGCATTAAATTACTTCGCATCAGCTCCATGTGAACGCTAAGCGAAGCTAATTCGAATTAAATTTTCACGCATGCGTAAGGGCAGAATTAAGTCACAGGTCACATGCCGATGGTCAAATATAGGTACTTGAGCTATTTTTGAGTGGAAAACAAAGAAAAATTATGTTAATCAAGTGCTAAAATGTGTACAGACACTATGACATTATGTCAAATGTATCTGCTCTGCACAATATGACGTGATTTGTAAATGACGTCATAATAGCCTTACTGAATAGCCTTGTTGTAGAAATAAAATTATAATTCGCATTAGTTTACTTCGCATTGGCTGTCGTGTGAACGCAATTTAATTCGCATTAGTTTAATTCGAATCATTTTACTTCGCATTAATTTACTGCGAATTAAACTCTCCGTGTGAACAGGGCATTAATTTCATTATAACAATGATCTAATTAAACACCTGGAAAATACAGAATCTGGAGCAAGACAGCAGTTGTATGCCTCCCTGGTATCATCATCCTGGCAAAACTTGATCTATAAGACTTAAGATTTACTTGGGAATGGACATTAGTACATGAAAACTTTAATCTGGTCACTCATTTGAATAGTTTGTCAGATGCAGCATCTGAAGCATAAAGGTAGTAAGAAGTCAGGCCAAGTGAGCAGAGAGGGGAATGATGCAAAAATCCATAGGGACATGAATTTCAGAATTCTAGAAGAGGCACCCTTGTTTATCGTAACAGTTCACTTAGTTTATCTGTTAATACTTAGGATCAGAAAAGATTCTCATGGAATTAATGCAACCTCACTTTTATAATCAATAGAGCCTCACCTTAACACCAAAACCCATGACTCAGGGGCCATAAATTTCAAAAATTTTGGAAGAAATACCCTTGCTCATCACAACTATGCACTAAGTTTATATGCTAGAGAAGATATGCACAGAATTGATGCATTTTCACTATACAATCAATATAGGCTTGCCCTAACACCACAACCACTGACCCTGTGGAAATGAATTTCAGTTCTGGAAGAGGAACCCTTGCTCATTATAATAATGCACTTAATCTCCTACATACCAAGGAAAACAGAAAATTTTCACATTTTCACTATATAATCAATAGAGCCTCAAATTGTCCTAACACTACAACCCCTGGTCCAGGGGCCATGAATTTCAAAATATGGAAGAACCCTTACTCATCATGATAATGCATTTGGATTATTTGCTAAAAAACTAAGAGCAAAGAAGAAGATTTTCAAAAAATTAATGAAGTTTCAATATATGATCAATAGTAGGAATCCTTGTTTATCATGATATTGAACTTAAATTACCTGCTAAATACGAAGATTTTGAAACAATTAATGAATTTTTACTAAATAATCAACAGAACCCCACCCAAACACTAGAACTCCTGACCCCAAGGGCCATGAATTTCACAATTTTAAAAAGAAGCACTCTTACTCATCATATCTAGGGAGTTAGTTTGCAAAATATACAAGGGGAGAGAAAAAGCTTTTTAAAAGAATTGATGCATTTCAGTATACAATCAATAGAACCCCTCCCTTACTCCAAAACCCCTGATCCTGGGGCCAAGAATTTCAAAATTTTGGTAGAACGCTTAATGCTTATTACAATCATGCCAACAGTTTGACTACTTGACATCTAGGAGTAAAGAGAAGAATTTTAAGGATTGCATTGATTTGATGATTTAGTCCCAACTGGCCCCAGGGAGGTAGGGGCCACAAAATTCACAATTTCAGTTCCCCTTTACTCATGGATGTTCTGTGACAAAATTGGTTGAAATTGGTTGAGCAGTTCCATAGAAGAAGCTTAAAATGTTCAAATGTTAACAAACAACTGAATATGCACGACACAATGCAACGGATGAAAACATAGCCATAAGTCACCTGAGTAACTCAGGTAACCCAATAACTGGAGAACCTTTAAATAAAAGAAGTTAATTGTGATCCAAATAAAACTGTTCTTGGCCAAATCATTTGGATTTTACTGTGTGAATCTGAATGAATGAATTCACAATTTAACAATTCAGATTATCCCAATCTGAAAATGAGTATAACTTACTTGGGATTTTGGAGTATCCACTGAGATTTTTTAGGCCTCAGCTCGGGAAAGACATCACACATTTTGTCTATAACCTGGCATCTCTTTAGGTAATTTTTGCAGCAGTGTACGTACACCTCTCGAAACATATCTGAACTCTGGGGTCGTTTACCTGTTAAAATAAAATTGACATTTGCCAACTGAATGTTTTTTTAAAATACAAATATGAAATAATTTTTCTTAGTGGGGGCCAAGTTTTGTACATTATGAAACATTTACAGTTTCATGGGAATTAACAGTCCTGTTCATATTGATATTCACATTCATTCAGGTTGTCAATTTGTAGGCAAGGAATTCCCATGAAATCCATGAAAATTAAGTCTTCATGAAATTTAATCATTCTGTATAGGCATAGCAGTAAACTTTGGGAACATTCCTTTATAAATAGATAATATCCCATGTTCTTACTCCATTTGAGGCTTATCTTTAATTTAAAGATTTATAAATTGATAAGAAAAGAAAGGGGGGTATTAAAAGATAATGTCAAATTGTTGATACTTTGAAATACATGTACACAGATCTATCCTTTATTACCTAAGGTAAACCTTACAATAACTGTGAAGCACAAGTGTAATAATTACCGAGAAATTAAAAATGTCAAACTTTCAATGTAAAACTTAGATTCTCTATTGTGGCCCCACCCTACCCTGGGGGCAATGATTTGAACAATTAGAATTTACACTACCTCAGGAAGCTTCCACGTAAGTTTCAGCTTTTCTGGAACAGTGGTTATTGGGAAGAAGATTTTTAAAGATTTTTCCTATATATTTCAATGTAAAACTTCGATTCCCTATTGTGGCCTCCTTTTTGGGGGGAGGGGTGGCATGATTTGAATAATTTAGAATCTACACTACCTCAGGAAGCTTCCACATAAGTTTCAGCTTTTCTGGCCCAGTGGTTCTTGAGAAGAAGATTTTTTAATGATCCCACTCTATTTTTGTCTTTTCTTGATTATCTCCTCTTGTAAGGGGGGTTGGTCCTTCATTTTAATAATTTAAACTCCCCTTCATCCAAAAATTTTTTCTTATAGTTCCATGCAAAAATTTGATCCTCTGTTGTAACCCTACCCTACCTCCAGTGGAATGAGTTGAAAAGTTTAGGATCTACTTTACCTCTGGAAGCTTTCATATTGTCTGGGCCAGTGGTTCTTGAGAAGAAGATTTGAAAAGATTTTTTTAAAATATATATTTCAATGTAAATCTTTGAACCCCTATTGTGGCCCCATCCTGTAGCCAGGCAACATGAGTTGGACAGTTTAGAATCTACACTACCTCAAGAAGCTTTCAAATAAATTTATCTTTTCTGGTCAAGTGGTTCTTGAGAAGATTTTTGAAGATTTTTCTAATTCATATCAGAAGATTTTTAAAGATTTTTCTTAAATATTTCAATAAAAAATTTCCATGAATACTCGACTATCATTTGACTAAAGCATCTGACTATTGACTAAGCTGTCTGAATAAAATTGGCTTTCCTAACGTATATATAAAAACGGCATTGAATCAGTAATTTTTTAACAGTACAAAACAAAAAGTTAAAATTTTGCACTCTTGTCCCTGAAATAGTATCACTGCCATCATGCTATGAAGATCCCCCCCCACAACTTACTTTAGCTTGAGTTTTGTTTTAGTACTGAAAAACCTCCTGAAATTCAGCAATACATAAGTATATAGTCTAAAACATGTAACAATGGGAAAGAATGAAGAAATGTGGAACAGCACAAATATTTCTGCACTCATCCATGCCTTGTGAACATTTTCCCAGTTTTCCTCAATCATGTTAATTGCCACAAGTCTCCGAGATCTAGGATACCTTTTCTTCCTCTGGCAGACTGGCAGTCTTCATCTACCCCGTCTAGTTCTGAATGGCTGTTAATAGATTCATCACTGACATCTTCATCTAGATCTTCATCATCATCTTCCTCTTGATCCTCTTCGTCTTCATCGACATCCAGTCTGACTTCCGGGTCCTCATCACTGTTTCCTTCCGTACACACATCGCCACTGGCCGAAATATCCTTCAGAACCCTCACTGCCCTGGAAATCAACCATTTAACTTTAAATCTAATCACCACATTATTCTTTTTTTTTCTCTCTCTGACAGGTAATAAGTTAGAACTTTGCTTATTTTTCACTTCAGATACTGTAAACTTAACTTTTTTTTGCTTGGGATGAAGTTTATACACAGTCAAAAACTTTCCACAGAAAATTGTCACAGCATACGTAAAGCATGTTTAAGACATTAAGGAGCAATCCAAGAATCAAAGTAATTTTTAACAGGTAGATTAAACGTAATTGTGATTCCATGAAATTATGACCCTATGGAAAACAGTATACAGTTGAACTTCAGTATCTCGAACATGAATATCTCAAATACAAATAGATATGTCGAAGTGAAAGTGAAGTCCTTACTATGTATTTCTTAAGTATTTTAATCTCGATTTTCTCTGTCCCATCAAGTTTGAGATAATGAGGTTTGACTGTAATTACAGTATATGGTTAATAATGTGAAAACAGTTTTTCCTGTTTTTTGTGTAAAAATAAAAGTGAACCTTATTAAACACCAACACTGAGCATGAACAGGAAGGAGAAAGAACATTGAGTGAACCAAGTAAGCAAAAAGTAAACACTATAGATCAGAGTGGAGAGAGAATGCCGAGTGAACCTAAACAAGTGGATAGTTAACACTGAGCATGAGCAGAGTGGAAAATGAATGCCAAGTTTAACTTAGTGGAGAGTAAACACTGAGCATGAGCAGAGTGGAGAATGAATGCTGATTTTACCTTAGTGGAGAGTAAACACTGAGCAAAAGCAAAGTGGAGAATGAATGCTGAGTTTACCTTAGTGGAGAGTAAACACTGAGCATAAGCAGAGTGGAGAATGAATGCTGATTTTACCTTAGTGGAGAGGAAACACTGACCATAAGCAGAGTGGAAAATGAATGCTGAGTTTTTCTTAGTGGAGAGTAAACACTGAGCATGAACAGAGTGGAGGATGAATGCTGAGTTTACCTTAGTGGAGAGTAAACACTGAGCATAAGCAGAGTGGAGAATAAATGCTGAGTTTACCTTAGTGGAGAGTAAATACTGAGCATAAGCAGAGTGGAGAATGAATGCTGAGTTTACCTTAGTGGAGAGTAACACTGAGCAAAAGCAGAGTGGAGAATGAATGCTAAGTTTACCTTAGTGGAAAGTAAACACTGAGCATAAGCAGAGTGGAGAATGAATGCTGAGTTTACCTTAGTGGAGAGTAAACACTGAGCAAAAGCAGAGTGGAGAATGAATGCTGAGTTTACCTTAGTGGAGAGTAAACACTGAGCATGAACAGAGTGGAGGATGAATGCTGAGTTTACCTTAGTGGAGCATGAGCAGAGTGAAAATGAATGCTGAGTTTACCTTAGTTCATAGTGAACTTAGTGAGCTAGTGAAGTAACCAAAAAGTGTAAAGTGAGCAAATGAAGTAGGTATTGTAAGCGAACAGAGTGAATCGGGAGTGCATAAAGAGTATGCAGTGAATGAAAAGTTGGTAGTGAACAACAAAGTGAATGGAGAGTGTATAGTGAAAAACAGAGTGAATGGAGAGTGTATAGTCAACAACAGAGTGAATGGAGAGTGCACAGTCAACAACAAAGTGAATGGAGAGTGTATAGGGAACAACAGAGTGAATGGAGAGTGTATAGTCAACAACAGAGTGAATGGAGAGTGTATAGTCGACAACAGAGTGGATGGAGAGTGTATAGTGAAAAACAGAGTGAATGGAGAGTGCATAGTCAACAACAAAGTGAATGGAGAGTGTAGAGGGAACAACAGAGTGAATGGAATGTGTCTAGTCAACAACAGAGTGAAAGCAGAATGTGTAGTCAACAACAGAGTGAATGGAGAGTGTATAGTGAACAAAAGAGTGGAGGAAGAATGTATAGGGAACAACAGAGTGAATGGAGAGTGTATAGTGAACAACAGAGTGAATGGAGAGTGCATATTCAACAACAGAGTGAATGGAGAGTGTGTAGTTAACAACAGAGAAAATTTAAAGTGCATAGTCAACAACAGAGTGAATGGAGAGTGTAGAGGGAACAACAGAGTGAATGGAATGTGTCTAGTCAACAACAGAGTGAAAGCAGAGTGTATAGTCAACAACAGAGTGAATGGAGAGTGTATAGTGAACAAAAGAGTGGAGGAAGAATGTATAGAGAACAACAGAGTGAATGGAGAGTGTATAGTGAACAATAGAGTGAATGGAGAGTGCATATTCAACAACAGAGTGAATGGAGAGTGTGTAGTTAACAACAGAGAAAATTTAAAGTGCATAGTCAACAACAGAGTGAATGGAGAGTGTAGAGGGAACAACAGAGTGAATGGAATGTGTCTAGTCAACAACAAAGTGAAAGCAGAGTGTATAGTCAACAACAGAGTGAATGGAGAGTGTATAGTGAACAAAAGAGTGGAGGAAGAATGTATAGGGAACAACAGAGTGAATGGAGAGTGTATAGTGAACAACAGAGTGAATGGAGAGTGCATAGTCAACAACAGAGTGAATGGAGAGTGCATAGTCAACAACAGAGTGAATGGAGAGTGTAGAGGGAACAACAGAGTGAATGGAGAGTGTAGAGTCAACAACAGAGTGAATGGAGAGTGTAGAGTCAACAACAGAGTGAATGGAGAGTGTGCAGTGAACAACAGAGTGAATGGAGAGTGTATAATGGAGAGTGTATAGTCAACAACAGAGTGAATGGTGAGTGTGCAGTGAACAACAGAGTGAATGGAGAGTGTATAGTCAACAACAGAGTGAATGGAGAGTGTATAGTCAACAACAGAGTGAATGGAGAGTGTATAGTCAACAACAGAGTGAATGGCGAGTGTATAGTCAACAACATAGTGAATGGCGAGTGTATAGTCAACAACATAGTGAATGGCGAGTGTATAGGGAACAACAGAGTGAATGGCAAGTGTATAGTCAACAACAGAGTGAATGGAGAGTGTATACTCAACAACAGAGTGAATGGAGAGTGTATAGTCAACAACAAAAAGGACAGTGAATGCAAAAAATGGTAACTAAATTGAGAAATTCAGAGATTGTATTTAACTCTCCAAAATTGTTTTAGTTTTGTAAGCACACCAAATATATCAAAGGAAAATTGTCTGTTCTATGCATGCATTTTTCCTCTAAATTTTCTTGAATTTGAGAAGAATCAAGAATTTATATGTGTGTGAATTTCTCTGTATGTCTTACTTTTTGGCTGCTTTACGTATCCTTCGGCCTTGTTTATCAGTACCAGATTCTTTCTCTTCCTCCCTCTTCTTTTTCTGTAGCTGAAGAAGCTGTTCCTGCCGTTCTTTCTCTTTCCTCTCTAGCAGTTTGTGGTTTCTGTAATGCTCCAGTTCATACATCTTCATGCAACTCCTGTTACAAACAGTGCAGGTAAATGTCTCAGCCTAAAAATAGGAATACATGCCAAAATCTTAAAATTACTTTCATTTTTTTTTTTGGGGGGGGGGGGGTGGATAACATTTTTCTAATCATAATCTAGAACTGCGACAGTCCTTAAAGGATTACTGTACGTGTACATAAATTGGCGTATTCAAAATTAAGCATTGTTTGCATAATCATGAATTAGCCCTTTACATGTTCATGCCGTGTATTGTAGTTATAGATGATTTCTTAGCGGTATTCATAAATAAGCGCATCGTTGTTTGCGCCAAAGCCACTAAAATATGAAGCCCGCTTTTTTAAGTACACATACAGTAATTCCTCAAAAAGGGAACATATAAAATACATATAAGAACATATATAAGCTGTTTTCTTAAGTTTAAAAAAATGAAGGGAATAAAATCACTTTTTAAATAATCTAAAAATAAAATGTAGAAGAATATGCAAACTAGAAATATGTCAGTAGGACATGAATGTTCTGCCTAGGGTTCATTAGTGATACAACATGAAAAGAAATGTACCTTGCTTCTTTTGTTTGTTTAGAGTACATGAGGAATAGTGAGGTCAAGGTTACAGGGAAGGTTAAGGTCAGAAAATTATGACACAATTTAATACCTTTCACTAATTTGTTTTAGTGTATGAATTTGATGAAAATATCTTGTCAAAGAATAGTTTCTTTGAAATTAAGCTTAAAACACAACAAAAAGAAAAGACAAAGGTCATAGGGAAGGTCAAGGTAAAACAATTTAGACACAGTTTATAAGTTCGCACCAATTTGTATCAGTGCATGTTTAGATAAAAATGTCTTTTAAAATAGTTTCTTCAAAACTGAGCTAAATGGAAAATAAAGAAAAGTAAGGTCAAGGTCATACAATTTGGACAAAGTTAAATAGATAGTTCTACCAATATTTATCAGTATGTGTTTATATATATAATATCTTAAAAAGTTTCTTGGAAATTGTGCTAACACAAATTTAAGAACAGTAAGGTCAAGGTCAAAGGGAAGGTCAAGATCAATGAGAAGGTCAAATTTTTTTATGCAGTTACACCACTTACAGAATGTATCATCATATAAAGATTGATAAAAATACCTTGATCTGTTTCTTTGAAACAGAGCTAAATGCAAATTTAGGAAAAGTGAAGTCAAGGTCAAGTTCAAAAATATATGACGCAGTTGAATATCTCTCACTAATATGTATATGAAGTTTGAAAAAAATATCTTGAATGTTTCTTTGAAACTGGGCTAAACACTAAGTGTGACAGAATCTGAAGGACAGAAGACAGACATGACAAACACTACATGCCCCAGCCATATTCATGGCAGGGGACAAAAAAATCAAAGTTCCTCTATAAAACTGGTCATCAGCTGATACTAATTTAAGATGATACCATGATAGAAATCATTTTAATAAGTCAAAAAATATGAATCCAAATTTCTCTTTACATTTCATTTTAAAAGTCATCCTGAGTAAGTTTTAAGTTATAAATACTCAAGAATGAAAAAAAAAATCATTTTGAATGTTTTGCTGTACATGTTTTAAATCAAATATAATTTTCGTTGCCAAGGATTTTAAGATAAATGTCAGTCACATACACATACATGTGACAAAGGCATACAAGGTATGAAACATTTAGATATTACATCAAAACAAGCCTGGTAAAAAATCAGTGACAATACATTGATTACCAAGCAAAGCCAAATACTTTAACAACAGACCAACTAGTCAAGTGATGTTAATATGACAATTACCCTGGAATGTCAAAAACTTAAAAATTTTAGATTACATGATTTAAACTTTAGATTCTCATCCTGATCTGCCTAAAAATTGGGGTGGTTGGTAGGATTTTTTTTTATTTTTCGTTATTGAAAATATCCACATAATTCTTCTTACATAAAATTTTCACATGATGAATGCTAATATGGATAGATTTTATTGTAAACAGTTTACTCTTTTAAATGTCTATAGAAGAGTCTTCTGCTATAAAATATTCACAGTATTAATGAATTTACAAGTACACACATACAGCATACCCCACACACAACTGCTGCTATGAAATGGGATGCGGATCCCAATAAATTGTACATGCTGTTGCTGTATAGGTAGTCACCACTTCTTAAAGGGCTTTCTCCAAATAACTTTTAGTTTGACCAACAACTTCTTTTGTGTGAAAATATCACAGTTCAACTATCCTTGTACATGTGCATCCAAATTTTTGTTCTTGTCACATTTGATATTGTCATTTTGCAAAAATGGTATCTTTAAATCCTACTTATTTAGGCAAAACAGCTTATCCCATACCACCTTAAACAAGTATGGAAAATTTTCATTACTTTGAAAAGATGGAAATATAAAGCAATTTTGGGCAAGTCTCTGACAAGACTGCAGCTCTACGGTTTGGTCTTGAAAAGCAGCATCTGTGCTTAAACTTAGAAACAATGGTACAAGCAATAAATAAGAATTATGACCCTTGAATAAATTAATTTGTTACCAAGTTTTATTAAATTTAGTCCAAAATTATAGGAGAGGTAAGATTTTAAACAAATTCCAATATCATCCTATTTAGAGTGAACATTTCAACAGAGTTCATCAAATTCAAACTCAATAGAGTAGAATTTATTTAGCATTAATTTTGATTAGCTAAATGTCATTCTTTAATACCATGGTGGCACACTGTACTGCCTCGCTGCTCCCAAAACTGAATAGGCCTATTTGTCATTTCGTATTAAGAAGTAGTTATTTTGTATTAAGAAGTAGGGATAGAAAGGGCAGTTGTTGAATATGGCCTGTACTTGGATTACTTCTTTATATTAAGATAACAAATGCGAGCCTTCAAATTATGTCATTATTTTCTCTTTCAGATTTTGACAAATTCTTGGTTTAATGTAAAAGAAAAATTGTTTGCATTAAACTCAAAATAAAATTGTCTTGGTCTTTTTTCTCTTTTTTGTGTAAGTTTCATAATGAAACATGACATGTTGTCAAATTATGTGTTGCAAGCTTTTACTGGTAATATGCTGATACATACTTATGTAATCTTTTCAACTACATCAACATTTTTTTACCTTGAGGTTTTTCTTTTTTACTTTGACCTCACCTTTCTTAAATTAGTGTGTAGCTCAGTTTTAAATAAACCATTCAAGACATTTATATCAAATGTAATATGCTGATACATATTAGTGAGAGCTATTCAACTACATCAAAAACTGTTGACCTTGACCTTTCCTGTGACCTTGACCTCACTTTTCTTAAATTTGCATTTTGCTTTTTTTTTTTTTTTTTTTTAAACCTTTAAGATATTTTTATGTAAGTTTATGCACTTATACATAATTTGGTAAGAATTTATCATCTATATCCAATTTTTTAGATTTCAATTTTAAAGAAACTATACAAGATATATTCTCATCAAACTTTATACATTAATAAAAAATTTCATGTTGCATTACTAATATACCCTCAGCTGGGCATTTATGTCCAATGGACATATTTCTAGTTAAGGTCTTCCATCTTCACGGAAGACCTTATAGTGATTCTACTGTTTCTTATTATTCTTTTTTTGACCAAAATTTTGTGCACGCGATTTCTCAAAAACTATTCAGTAGTTTTCAATGAAACTTTCACAAAAAAATGAGTCATCATATGAACTTTGTTCATCACAAGTAAAATTTGGAAAATTCGCTTCCGGTTCCAAATTATGGGCAAATTCCTGATTTTTAAATGGAATGTTGTCCATGGCAAACCTAAAGAACAACTAAAGGTATGAACTGGAGACTTATTAGAGATTATAGAACATGTCTTCTAGATTACCAGAATCTCCTTTTCGTGCATCGTCACTACTACTGGTCGCTATCAGAAGCGAATTTAAAAAGTTGAATTTTTCAACTTTTTTGTTTTTCAATATAGTTTGATGATATTAGTACGGTTAATAGAGACTCTTTTCAGAATGCATAATATATAATTTGTTTGAAAATTGATAATAAATATTATAATTATTATTAATATTTTTAGACAAATATTATGCACGCCATATCTAGAGAACTATTCAGTGGTTTTTCGTCAAACTTGCAGGCATAATGCGTTTTCAAAAGCCATTGTTACATTTGAAAAAATTTTGGAAAATTCACTTCCAGTTCCATGTTATGGGCAATTTCCTGATTTTTAAATGAAATTTTTTTTCCAAGGTACATCTAAAGAATGGCTAAAGATATGAACTGGAGACTTATTAGAGATGAGAGAACATGACTTCTAGATTTGCGGAATTGTCTTTTTGTGTGTCGTTAATACTTCCGGTCGCTACCAGAAGCGAATTAAAAAAGTTGAATTCCACAACTTTTTTGTCTCTCAATATTTTTTAATGATTTTACTAGGGATAATACAGACTCTTATAAGAAATGGTTCCACTAGTGTAATGTTAGCGTGCTTAATTTTCATGCCTGGACTTAATCCCCAGAATGTCTGGATTTTTTTGTACCTTTTTTCAGCTGAAATATAATACTGTATCTTTGAACTGATATCTGGTATAATTTTCCGTTCAATTTATGCGATATATTTTACAATTTACTTTTTATAGTATTTCATGTATGAAGGAGTTAAAAGGATTGCACAACGTAATACAGTGAGGAATCAACTTCTCTCATGACAGAGAAGGGACGGAAGACCTTCTTGTTGCCATGGCAACAAGTTTCTAGTTGTAATTATAGTTTAACACACTTACAGGTCAAAGGTCATAGAAATTAACAATCATCATTTAATACTATAATTATGGATATTTTCCCTCCTAAAGCTATTTTTGTTGGTGATTACATATATGCACTTAAAACTGTCAGGTGTCCTTAAACCGAAGCCTGCTAAATATAATATATAACAAATACTGCCAAAAAAATTACCTCTCTTCCACACCACTCTGTGTGCTTGAAGTAATACTGGGCATTCCTAAGTTCTTTGTCACATTTAGGACAGTATAAGATTTTCCTGATTTTTAGGATCTGTCTTACGGATGCTCTGTCTTCCTTCCCCTCCGGACAGTCTGGACTATACTGAAAAACATTTAACAGTATTCTATATGCTTTACTCTAAAGTACTAAATTCATGATTGTATTCTCTTGTAGTCTTATTCCGAGACCAAAAGGCATTGACACTCTGAGTCTCAAAACCATTTAAATATACACTCTTTGATTTCAGCTACCTGTGTGTCATGTGCAGTTCTTCATATGTTGCTTTGCCAAAATTTATGGCCAAAATATAATTTTCAAAATATTCTTCTTGTAAACAAAGGCATACTCATCTTTTTTGCTGATTCAGTAATCATCCAAGAAGAATTTCAAACTTACTCCTTACAGTGACCTTCATGTGACAGACTCTTGGATCAAAGCAAGTTTGTGTCAAGTGTCAGCATCTTTTTTTCTACATTCTTTAATTATCACAATTAAAAAATAATTGATGCACATGGTGATCTATACATAAATTTGTTCCAGAGGATAATTATAGAAGGGTTGAACCTTGCATCAGAAAGTCAGGAATTCACAAATTTTGAAAGATATGGTTTATCTCTCATTATAATCCAAGATCTTTAAGGTTGTTTGCTGATAATTAATATATAAGATGAACAATTTAACCCAATCCTTAGGTTTGAACATTCAATCAAGGTCTGAATTTCAATATTTTAGGAAAGGTCTATTTACATCAAATAATGTACCATATCATTCTACTATAACTATTTCTACTCCATCCTGGGGCCCAAAGTCAGAACACTGCACCAAGGGTCAGGAATTTCACATTGGCTCCCATACACAAGTGACCTATAAAGTTGTGGCCATTAACACTTACAAGAGCAGTGTGTCTCCTCATTAAATGATTTTTCAGGGCGGACAAATTTGGGAATTTCTGTTGACAGCGAAGGCAGGTCATTTCTGATTCATTATCTTCCTTTGTTATCTAAAATAAAGATTCACTGAATGAAAAAATATTTTACACTGTAAATTTCTTTCAATATTTACTGAAGACAAAGAAAACTAACTCTGTTTAATTTTTCTGATCTAAATAGTTTGGGAGATCAACAACTTGAGAAAAAGGAAGTTGGCATGTTAATGGTTTGGTCATGTAATATTCACAACATTTGAAGGATTTTATTTAGAAATTTTTACTGCCTCATTTTTTATGGTGTATTTTGTTTCTAAGAATTATTCAGATTATTTTATTGTATTGTAAGTATTTATATTTCAAGTTCAATTCATTCAAAAACTTTAGTACTCCAAGGCAAGTTTTGAATATAATAGTTACTTTCCAGACTATATTAGTCATACTTGAAGGTAAGCATAATTCTACATTTCAGATTAGCTAAATACTCTAACAACTTTGCTATACTGAATTGCAGATAAGTTTTCTACAATACGGTACAATTATTTTGATTATTGTGGTATAGCAGCTAGTATACCAAAAAATCTTTACACCCCTAATCTGTAATTTGTTCAGTATTTACATTTTATGCTATCAGTGAATGTAATGAATTTTCCTCAATCAGTTGTAAGATAAAAATGCTTAAGTTCACAATGAAAAGTTACAAACAAGCCATAAAATATTCAGACATTACCTTTGACTTTTCCCCCCTTCCTTTTGATTTTTCCATAGGAGTTACCTCCCTTTCTTCCCCAGTTTCCTCCCCTGAGCTGATAGTAGGTGATTTCTCTGCCTTTTTTTGATTGGCTTTTCTCCCCCTTCTCCCTGTGGAACGTGGGGTATCTGGATCAGAAACAATTTGCTGTTCTCCTCTTCCAGATTTATTTACACCACTTTTGTCCTTCTCCTCTTCAGAATCATCACTGATATCATCATCCTCCTTAAGTTTTCTTCTTCCTCGTCTAGTACCTGTTTTCACAGAAAGAGAATTATCCTTGTCATCATTTTTATCCTCTCTATCTTCCCCAGTTTTTAGTGATGCTCGTTTTCTCTTTGGTGTTGGAGTCTCCTCGACGGATTCTTGTAACGTTTTACGGGGCCTCCCCCTTTTACGTCCTGTTCCCTGTTTTGGTTTACCCACTAGCTCTGTATCATTATTGGAGTCCTTTGTACTGTCCTGTGAAATATCATCCTTTGATGACAATGGAGAAGATAATGTTGATGTGTTTTCTTCATCACCTTTGTCATAATGTTCAAGTCTTGCAGGAGTTTTTCTATTTCTTTTTGGATAGCCTAGTTTGGAAAAACAAATTCATTCAAAATATTATATAATAAACTTGATACTGTAAGACTTTCTAAGAAAATGCAAGTTCAATCTAAAGTAGTGTCACCCATTAAAAATTCTTTTGTCATGATTCAAGTTTAATAGAGAAATATGTTTTAAAGTGTCTGATCATACTCTTGGGTTCTGGAGTCTGTCCACTTTTTGAGATCTTCTCCGTTTTATTGGCACTTTTTGGTGGTCGTCCACGGCGTTTTGTGGTGATTGGGGTGGAAGATGCCAGTGGTAAGCTGGCTTCTCCATCATCCACCGGAGGATATTCATTAGGAATTTCTTCAGGTTCTTCCTTTTTATTTCCTTCTTGTCTTTCCATGTTTTAGGAAATTAGGTTTGCTGCAATAATGAAGAAGCCTTGTTTTAATTCAGCTTGTATTATACTAGCAAGTAAATAAGACAAGTCATTAAATTTGACACAAATTTAAATAGAAGATTATAACTTGAATGTTCCATGTTGTAATGTATATGGGCTTCTCAAAGCTGATTTGGGCTATTAATTATTCTCCTCCACTAGCCCGATTGGTACCAAACCGATTAAGATATCCTGATAACATGATAATTGTTATTTAATATTTATCAGGTTCGGCACAATCTCTTCACTTAGCTATATAGTTTGAATTAGCTATATAGCTTTGTTAAGCTATTCAGAATAGCTTGATTTAGCTATTTTATCAAACCTTTATCTTAAGGTCAAGATCTAGTAAATGACTTTAGACTGTCTTTTTGGTGCTAGATCCATTATGACGTCATAATCAGTTTAAACTTTCTTTTTCCCATACTTTAGGGCTCTAATAGAATTATGTAGAAAATAAAGTTTTTTATGGAATTCAATTTGAAATCATGTGAAAATTAATCCCGAAACCTATATTCAATTTGATCTTAATTTAAAGAAGAGGATATGAACAAACAAATTACCATTTTCTGAGAGACTGTAGGCAATCTGGATACATTTCCTTTGTCCGATAAAGAAAAAACTCCCATATTCATGACTGATTTTATTAATTTTTCATCAAAAAAAAAGACAGTTTAAAATATGATTTTTCGTCTTGTTTACCTACAAAATATGCCCCGATTCACCTTATCTGACCAAGCTATACTTAAAAAGCATCTTTAAAGGAATTTATTTCTCACATTTGAGAAATCTGTAGGCTCCTTTCATTTACTAGATCTTGACCTTAAATGTCTTATTTATTCAGCATGTTCCCCAAATCGCTCCTTGGTGCAGTGATAGTATTCAATCTTGAACTCTTCTGAAAACAATGCATGTAAAAAACACTCATCAAATTGTCTCCTCGAGAGACTTTGGACTCAAAGTTTTTACAGTTTGGGGGATATATATAAAGCAATTGATTTGTGAGCTCTCAGTTACTTGTTGAATGAAATTATAATGAAATTATAAAGGAGGTCAAATCTGGTCACAAGATAATTAATTGGTAATAGTTCAGCACAATGTGAAGCAATCATACTTATTCATGCCTATGCACACAAAGTGGTGTAAAGTTATCCAAACAATGGAAATACATCTTTAACTTAAAAGTATTCAATGATGCAATGTTAGAACTATTTTTGATTTGGGTTGCTTTTTTGATAGTTCATAGTACATAGTGAATAGTTTAATATGTGCAACTTTTTACCTACTTCTTAAAAAATAAAGTTGTGAAAAAACTGCATATAAATAGCTTAATCAAGCTTTTCTGTTTATCCAACTCCAAATTACATGGAGTGCCCCCCCCCCCTCCCCCAGAATCGCACTCCTTTACACTTTCAGAGGAAATGCACTGGAAAACTGTTTATCCAACTCCAAATTACATGGAGTACCCCCTCCCCCAGAATCGCACTCCTTTACACTTTCAGAGGAAATGCACTGGAAAACTGTTTATCCAACTCCAAATTACATGGAGTACCCCCTCCCCCAGAATCGCACTCCTTTACACTTTCAGAGGAAATGCACTGGAAAACTATTTATGACCATTACCCCCTAAGATAATTTTTCTTCACAACCATATATGACATGTTTGTCTTTATTCTCCTTAAACTGTACAGCGTCAAAACTCTGCTCACTGACTTGAACATTCGCCTCACACCAAAGAATCGTTGTGCTTATTATCTCTGACAGAGAGCAAATTTAAAACTGAGAGGGTTTAAAAATTCCATTCCAGTATTTAATATTGTAGTTAATAAATAGCATTTGTTTAATACTTTTCATTTTCCATAAAAACATTATGATATTTTTCCCATGTAATTTTAGAAACAAATTTTTAACCAATCAATACCTAGGAACATATTCTGCCAGAGGTTAGCACATGCCATTCTGTAGTGTGCGATTAATTTTCCAGTCCATGAGCAGAGTATTGACACTGTTTACAGAGATAAAGAAAATAAAGACAAACATGCCATATATGGAGCCAAAATAAAATTATTGTTTGTTTGGAATTGCCTCCCACCTCATTGAAATGGCCCCTCCTGGAAAAAAATTATTGACCAAAAATAAGAAGATTTTTCTTTTTATTTAATCAATTCTTAGTGTGTTACCACATGTGCCACTCAATCACTTAATAAGTGTAGGATCTAAGCAAGACTGGGTTCCTGGTTGATGTGAGATACCCTTTGCAAATAGGCAGAAAATAATGTGTTCATTCCTTATTGAGATTTTTATCATCAATATTTAATTTAATTTAAAAAAAAAATAATTTCCCTCCCTCCCTCCCGGGTCTGAAACCTCCCAGGCGGCAATTCCAAACAAACAATTTTTAAGGATGGCCTGGTTGTGTAGATAAATTATCATAGAATACAATGGTAATCAACAGTTTGCCAGTGCATTTCCTCTGAAAGTGTAAATGAGTGCAATACGTTCTATTACCATTTGTGAACTCTTCAAAATGAGAGGCGCATTTGGTCGTCTGTCTGGGACAGCATGGCATGGCGGATAATACAAAACATGCCAATCTCAATCCAATTTTAAATGTTAAATGTATTTGTCATTCCATTTAAAGAATAGAAGAACTAAAAGACATATGTAAGAACCCTAAATTTATCATCCATTAATAAAAAATACGACATTTCTGAGGCATGTGTATTGTATTTAGATGTACCATACTATAAATAGATATATACGATCAACAGTAGATATAAATTGATATTGTTGTCATTCCTACTCTTGAACTATATAAAGTCCACAATAGTATTTCATTTGCATTTTCTAAGGAACTGTTCATCGATATTCAACATATTGTTAACATTTATGTTACATTTGTCCCAGAAATCCCGCGAGATTTGTCCATTTTCCGACTTTTTCACAAAAGAGCGCACTAAGAAGTATAACTCTTCCATAGTGGAAATAGAATGTATTCTGGGGAGGGGGGTACTATTTGTTATCCAGGTCCAGTCAAGGGTGTACGGGGATTTACCCCGGGTTTTATTAAATCCCTGTACACCTTGATTGGACCTGGATAACCAATTTATTTCCTATGTATCCAAATAAATTTTTTGAACACAAGTCCAATCAACTGTGTTTCAAGCTATCGATAAGATTTACTACGTCCTACAATGCATCGTGACATCATGTTATTTGCTTTTTATCATAGACACTATGCATTGTGACGTCACATTTTTTTTTACCCCCGGCTCAAGTCAGGTGTCCGGAAATTTACATCCAACTTTGTAACCAATCAAAGCTCGTGTTACAAGCTACATAGGCAATAATCCATGTAATTCGGAGTTGGATACCTGGTTAAATAATTTACTACCGAAACAAGTGCCTGTGCTATGTAGCTAAATCAACAGATTGTGCTGGACCTGTTTATATCTCAAAATACACTTCCTTTCTATTAAGAAGGGATGGGATTTCTCATCTAAGGTTTTATTTGCAAGTCACTGATAACAATATATCAGATGTCTGTGTGTCATTGTGTATTGCACTATTGGAAACTTTGTCAAGGAATCTTTGGATACAGGGGGATTTTCTCTACAAATCAAAATCTCATCATACATACCAAAATTTGGAGAGAAATTATCTTGGTTAGACTTTAAACACCGCATAGTATGGGGCAACAAAGAAAACATAATTAACATCTAATTACATACCATGCATACAGACAGACTTCATTTTAATTTTTTCAAACATTGCCCAATTATAACAAGTTTCTTAGTGATAAAAATAAAAATGACAGCTGTACTTTATATAAGTTGTTACTTGAGAATTAATCTTTCACCCAGATTTCACAGATGTTAGTTGTTACTTTACTCGCTCATCATGCTCATCAACAACAGCAAATTCGCGCCGAGAAAATTCGAACAAAGTGAGTAAAAGTGAAAATGATGTCAAACAGAAAAATCCGAATTTTTCAACATAAGTACTAAAATTGTTTTCTCATAAAAATGTAATATATCCAGTATAATTATGATAAAATACAACATTTATAAATATTACCAAATAATAATAATAATTTGTAAATGAATAAATTCGGAACTATGGGGTTTTTTCCTTACTGTTGACTAATTAGTGATCGATTACTATTTCCTGTTTGATCTACACTAAAGAAAGGATAAAAGCCAAAAAAGGTGAGTTATATATGATGTATAAATAATTGCATTTTGATCTTTGCAGAAATGTTGTTGTGAACAAGTGTTTTTGTATTTTATCACTACAAAGCCAAAGGTATCACAATCACACGACTCTCAGATCACAGTTATCTTGCTTTGTCGGTGTAACTATATCCTACATTTTATCACTATATCCTAATTCCTTTGTAATTAACCTGTAAATATTTTACAACTTCAAGCGCTATTGGACAATTTTTAAATGCATTTCTTTACTCGCATAGTATTGGGGAACAAAAACCCCCCATAATTTTTTTAAACATACATGGAGAAATCAAGATACAACGGATTTCAATGGGTGGCACTGTAGCTCTCTGGTTGTCCATCCCAATTTTTTGAGACCAGCATAAGTCAGCTTTTGTAGGAAAATTAAGATTCCCATGGGATAACTGAACATCCTGAAGAATACTATAACAGCTCATTCTAATCAGACTGCATAGCTTATGTATATATCAGGTTGGGCACACACCACCAAATGGTCATTTATCCCCCGTTTGGTGGACAATCTCCCATATCGGAGACAAATTTTACTGACCATTTGGGAGAGAAAAATGGTTGTGTTCAATTCCATAGAATGGCGTGGAATGGCGCTTAATTTTAAACCATGTGGAATAAAATATATAGATATTTATCGGAAACTCAACGTGTAATTTTTTTTGTGCAGAGTCCTTCAAAAATTTGACCAAAAAACATCATGTATGTAAAAAAGTGCAACGTTTCTCCATTTTTACTTAAAAAGAAAATTCCCTCCTTCTCCAACGATGCTGCACCTGTCAATCATGTTCTTTACTTTCTATTTCGATTATCCGGGCAACCAATAAAATAATGCAAACCCATAAAAACGATGATCTTTTTTTAACTTGGTCAAAAGTTGGATTTTACTAGGGAGGCACATTTGTGTCAATTTTCAATTAGATAATCAAAAGAAAAATAAGTTTTCGCTTTTATTTCATTTTATTTTGTACGCAATAGCTTTGTTCTCTACAAAAATAGTAAATGAAGTTAGATTATGATATAATTATTGTTTTAAAACGATGTACTTCGAACAAATACAAGAATAATTGCAAAAGTCACTTTGTAAATCTTTTATTGAAAATTATTTATCAGATATATTAAATTCATCAGTAATATACATATTAAACCACAGAAGGTCGCATGGAATATGCAACTTCATCCTAAAAGAAAAATAACAACAGATATTACGTTCAAGTATAGAAAAATTTAACTTTATAGCATTAAGTGCCCACCATACCAGTGGAGTAACGAGGAGCTCGTGTTTAACGGGATTTTATGGAAATAAATATTGACGAAGATCCAAAAAGCGATTGAAACTTAACTTATTAAGGGTTAAACCACTAGATAAAATAGAATTTTTATCCTACTAGACACAATCTAAATTTTTTTGATTGATTCATCAAGAAGTTCGGCTGTTACGGACAACTAAGGGTATCGTTTTTAGGAAGTTATGGAGAAATTGCACATGGAAAATCAACCGAACTATGTTAATTGTGCGAGGAATATGTTCACTAAAATTCCCCAATGCCTAAGTAAATGCGCTTTTGCTTTATTTTAATAAAATTTGGAATAGACTAAAAAAGTCCACCATTTGGTCAGTAAAATTCATCTCTGATATGGGAGAATGTCCACCTAACGGGGGATAAATGACCATTTTGTGGGGTGTGCCCAACCTGTATTATGCACCTGTATATGATTTATTTGAATACTTAATATTAATTGTGATAGGAATTTTGCAGGGTTTTTTTTCTGTTTAACATGACATATAGTGGAACTTTTCTCTTCAGATTTCTATAGATCTATATGAAAATTGATCATTAATGTTTATTTACAGAACAATCTGTAGAAATGGTAAGAAGAACAAAGGCTAGGAGGAAAAAATCCCAAAAGTCAAAGAAAGGTGATGATACTTTGGCACAAGCTAAGCACACAGACGAGGATTTAACAGCCTCCATTAGTACTGCAGATAGAAAGCCAGAACAAGAAGAGAGCGAAGTAAAACCTACTGGCAAAAACAAAGTAAAACCTACTGGCAAAAACAAAGTACAACCTACTGGTAAAAAGAAGAAAAACAGTAGTCCTGAATCAAATACATGTATTACTAAAAAGGAAAATACAGATCCTACAAAACCGTTTGTTTGTGAGCAGTGCCCGTCTATTTTAAAGAATGCAAAATCCTATAGGGAGCACATGAGAAGGGTCCACAAAGAGAAGACCCACAAATGCAAGGAGTGTGGAAAGCTCTTCAGGTATGAATGTATTCTAAGAGAGCATTCTCTGATGCATACAGGGGAGACACCTCACCAGTGTCCTCAATGCCCAAAGAAGTTCCGCACGAAGAGCAATCTGACTAGACATTTAATTGTACATGGTATAAGTAACGATACACGAGCACTATACAAATGTCAGTGTGACGTCTGTGGCAAAATGGTTCGTTTTGCATCCAATTTACTGGCTCATAAAAAGTCTCATGGGGAGGACAGGCCATTTATGTGTGTGGAATGTGGAAAACAGTTCAAGACAAAAGCACATTTAGAACTTCATATGGCTTACCACCTTGATTATAAACCACATGAATGTGAAACATGTGGAAAGAGCTTCCATGACAAGTCGAATTACAGAAAACATCTACTAATTCACAAGGCAGACAAGCGTTTTAAATGTGACATCTGTGATTGGGCTTTTGTAAGAAAAGATCAGTTGAAAATGCATCAGCGCACCCACACTAAACTTTCCTTCCAGTGTGCAGTATGTGACAAAAAATTTAAAACAGAGGCTTATTTCAAGACCCATTTATCACAACATGCATTGGGAAACAACTTTCTGTGTTTTGTCTGTGACAAGGTTTACAGCAGCAATTCTAATCTAAAAATGCATATGAAAAAATGCCATGGATCTTCCATGTTATTAAAAACCACAGATGAAAGGAAAAGGAAGTTATCCTGTGAGGAGAATGAGGTCAGAGGTCAAAATGAAGGAAATCAAGGGATAACAGTTATAGTTGTGAATGGAATAAAGAATGAACTGTCTGTTTCAACAGATGGCGATAAAAGCTCTTTTGAATGTAAAATAGAAAATGCAGTGGAGGATAGCTCTAAATCACTTGACTCTCTTCAACAAGAGAATAGTATAAAAAATGAGAATATCCCAAGAAAAGATGAAGTAATCCCTGAATCATCAACAACTCCTGAACTGAAGTTTGAATATTATGCAGAAGTGAATGAATTGTCCAATAAATCTGAGATTGTTACGGAAAACTATACCATTCTTGAAGATAACATTACAAAATTACAGGACATGACAGGAAAACAGGATATCACCGCATTAACGCCCAGCCTAGTAATGGAGCCAGGAAAACAGAATATCACCACATTAACACCCAGCCTAGTAACGGAGCCAGGAAAACAGGATATCACCGCATTAACGCCCAGCCTAGTAACTGAGCCAGGAAAACAAGATATCACCATATTAACATCCAGCATTGTAACGGAGCCAGGAAAACAGGATATCACCACATTAACACCCAGCATTGTAATGGAGCCAGGAAAGCAGGATATCACTATATTAACGTCCAGCCTAGTAATGGAACAGAACAACATGGAACCTGTAGGGGAAACTGATGATGCTAAGACTACCTTTGAAACAACACTAGAAACAAATGAGATGGAAACAGATACAAAAGAAATCATGGAGAATGATGGAATGGAGACTTCCTCACAAGATAACAGTGAAGTGGAGCAAGCTGGGAACAGTGAAGTGGAGCATGCTGGGAACAGTATCAAGACTGGTGTCAAGTGTATCCAGATCTATATTGATGGTCAGTTATGCACCTATACAGGATTACAGTCTGACAGAGGACAGAGTTCCTAGACTTGAGAGATCTGAAACACAAACTGCACCCTCAAAGTGTCCCATTTCTAGAATGTTCTGTTACTCAATGAAGTTTTATGGGATATGTTTTTTTGAGGGAAAAAGATATTGAATTAAAATTATCTTATTCTTAGTTGAAGAGTTTATGTATTTACATGACTGTATAATACAAGTCAAACACACAAAGGAAATCTTTTATACCTACCACATTGAATATACATGTATATGAACAATCCATCTGTATATATTTTCAAAGTATGTGTATTAATTCATTTCAAAAATTTTCTTATTGATGATTTTTTGTGAAAGTTTGTAAAGTTTTTGCATGGTAAATACTTATAAGATATAATTTTGAGTAAAGTACATGTAATTTGAACTGAAAATCTTTTTTCATTTATAAAAACTTACTCAAGACAATGGTCAAATATTTTATAAGATTTATAATGTCATTACAGTACTCTGTGGATTTTTTTCAGTTATAAAGATTAACATATGTATCATATGTATATGCTTTATCATTTATTTTAAAATCTTTTGATTAGAAATTGTTGAATTTCAATTTTAACGAGGCAAGCAAAAAGTACTTCTTAATACTGTAAATAGGCTTATCTGGGATGCCAGTATTTTTAGTATGTCAAGTTCACAAGAAGTCAGTTTATATTTTGCTTTAGTATTTAGAAGTAATGAATATGTGAATATCTTTTTTTGTCCTTGTAGTAGGAGATTTAGGAACATTTAGTTTTTGGCCTGTCCATCTGTCTGTCTGTTAATCTGATTGTCTGCAAAAACTTTAATCTTTGCCAATAACTATTGAATGGTTGATGCAAGGGCTTTCATATTTCACACAGGTGTATTCCTTGTGACAAGAACTTTCTTCAGATACCATCATATTTGATGTCTTGACCTTGGACTTTGACCTACTTTTGGTAAATTTTACCAAACTTTAATCTCAGCCATAACTTTTGAATGGTTAGTGCTAGGGCTTTCATATTTCACATGTGTATTTCATGTGACCAGACCCCTTTTTGGGTACCAACATTTTTTACCTTGATCTTGGAGTTTGACCTACTTTGGAAAAAATTAACCTTGACCATAACTTTTGAAAAACTGGTGCTAGGGCTTTCATATATCAATTGTATTTCTTGTGACAAGGCCTACCTTTGAGTACCAACATTTTTTACTTCCTGATCTTGACCTTTAGGCTTTGACCAACATTATTAAAACTTTAACCTTTGCCATCTTTTCTGAATGGTTGATGATAGGGCTTTCATATTTCTTATGAGCATTCTTTGTAGCAAGAACTTTCTCTGGGTACCAATATTTCTGACCTCCTTACCTTGACCTTGGAGTATGAACTACTTTTGGAAAAAATAAACCTTTGCCATATTTACTGAATAGTTGATGCTAGGGTTTTCATATTTCTCATCTGTATTCTTTGACATGACCTTTATTTGGATACCAACTTTTTAACCCCTAACCGTTATTTAGGTACCACCATTTTCACTCTTGCCTTGGAGATTGACCTACATTAAAAAAACTTTTAACTTTGGCCTTGAGCTGCCACATGGGCATCAGTGTTTCACAAATACATCTTGTTTTCTAAATCTTGATACCAAGTGTTATGCAAAATAACTACATGTACTTGTATTATACAAAGATTTATTCGAAGGAATTAGAAGGCAAAGTTCTTGATTATGGAGCTGTAGCTAAATATACAATGTATTTCAATATTAATAAAAATCAAAACAAACTAGTCTCATATAGTTTTATTTAGGAACCAACATCTTGGTGCAGGTGCCCAAAAGTAATCACCTGGTCAGTCTTTCAGTTTGCCTACCTGACTGTCCATCCACATTTTAAGATCACCTCTACGAAGTCAAGATGCTTATTCTATATCCCAGGCATTGGCATCAGTATCCCTGTTAGAGTTTTAGGAGCAAGTCCATTCTTAAGCTATGGTTCGGAGCCGCTCATAGCTCTCTCATACCCGTGGCTGCTTGATCACATTAAGTCTCGAAATCTTGTATGATCAAACCCAATGAGTGTCATGTTATAAAGCAATGAAAATAATTGTTATATTGTAATTGAATTTAAAGATAAACAACAACAAATTTCATTTAAAGGATTGGATAATAAAAGGTCACATTAAAGGATATTTTCTGACTATGCTTTATTCGCATTGGTCAATATTTTAATGGACTATGAAATATTCTCGTTCAACCACATCCAGAATAGGAGAGGAGGATCGTACATTTTGGTTTGTGATGATGTTATAATCCCTACCAGGACCAAACTTGCATGGATGAAGTGTAAACGGATGGACACTTCCAGACTTGCTTGACAGATGCTTGATCTGACCTACATTTTCCAGATAATTGACCACTTGCATGAATAATGCATGTAGGGATGGGCACTACCAGACTGGTTTTGGATGCAGTATCTGACCTACATTTTCCAGATGAGTGAACAGGTTAAAGTTTTTGGAGAGGTCCACTCCCAAGTAACTATAAGTCTTATACCTGGACCAAACTTTCATGGATGATGCAACTAGTGCATGAATGCTATCAGACTTTCTCAGATGCAGGATCTTACCTATATTTACCAGGAGAGTGACCAGGTTAATTTTTTAGCTCACCTGAGCCGAAGGCTCAAGTGAGCTCTTCTGATCAAAATTTGTCCATTGTCTGTCATTGTTGTTGTCGTCATCATTGTAAACTTTTCACAATTTCATCTTCTTCTCCAGAACCACTGGGCCAATTTCAGCCAAACTTGGCACAAAAATCCTAGGGTGAAGGGGATTCAAGTCTGTTCAAATGAAGGGACATGCCCTCTTTCAAGGGGAGATAATTACAAATTAGTGAAAAATTAATGGCATCTTTTAAAAATCTTTTTCTCATGAATCACTAGGCCAGGAAAGATGAAACTTAAGTGGAATCATCCTCATGTAGTGTAGATTCAAGTTTGTTCAAATCATGACCCCTGGGGGTAGGGTGGGGCCACAATGGACAAGCAAATTTTTACATAGGAATACATGTGTATATAGGGAAAATCTTTGAAAGTCTTCTTCTCAAGAACAGCAAAGCAATGATTGATCATATTTGTACGGAAGCATCCTCAGGTAGTATAGATTCAGATTTGTTCAAATCATGACCCCAGGGGGTAGGGTGGGGACACAATGGACGAGCACAGCTATACATAGGAATTTTTTTAAAAAAAGCTTCTTCTCAAGAACATCAAAGACATGATTGGTCATATTTATATGGAAGCATCCTCAGGTAGTGTAGATTCCAGTTTGTTCAAACCATGACCCCCCCCCCCCCCCCCCCGGCATAGGGTGGGGCCACAATGGTCAAGCAGAGTTATACATAGGAATACATGAGATTTTTAAAAAAAAATCTTCTTCTCAAGAACAGCAAAGCCATGATTAGTTATATGTAAGCATTCTCATGCAGGTATTGTAAATTCAGATTTGTTCAAATCATGACCCTCGGGAATAGGGTGGGACCATAATGAAAGTTCAAACTTATAGGAAAAAAGCTACAGTTCGGCAAAGAAATGTGTAAGCATGCTTAGTGTAGATTCAAGTTTGTTCAAATCATACCCCCCTTTTTTTAGGGGTAGGTTGGGGCCACTTAATATGCATTTATACTTTTTAATACTGAACAAATTTCTGCTTTTTTCCAAGCCATAGTGCTAAGGTGAGTGATTTGGCCCATGGGCCTCTTGTTTGGATTTTCTGCCTGGACCAAACTTGCATGGATGATGCATTGAGTGATGGACACTAATAAGACTTGCTTTGTTTGCTGGTACTTTTATTTTCCAGGTTAGTGATTAGGTTTAAGTTTTTGGAGCAAGTCCATTCCTAAGTACATGTAACTAAAAAAAAAACTATAATTCCCACCTGGACCAGTCTTGGATGGATGATGCATATAGGGATGTACACTTCCCGACCTCCTTTGGATGCTTGATCTGACCTATATTTTCCAGTGGAGTAAATCCATTAGAATCAAACTGGCATTGATGATATATCTATCATGGATGGACACTATCAGACCAGCTTCAAATACTGTATCTGATCTGCACTTTCCAGTTGAGTGACCAGTGTAATTTTTATGCTTCCGTAATTGAAGATTTGGGAGCATATAGTTTTTGCCCTCTCCGTCTGTTTGTCTGCAAAAACTGTAACCTTGCCCACAACTTTTGATTGGTTGGAACTATGGCTTTCATATTTCACATACGTTTTTCTTGTAATAAGGCCTTTCTTTGGGTATGTAACGGTGTCTTATTATAAATCTGGAGCATGGAAATATAAATAAGTCCGTTTCAGGGTTCTACTGACATCTCCATTTATTACATATACACAGATGAACACATAGTATAGTTGGAATAATGGAACAATGAAGGAATATTTGGAATAATGCCCTGAAAAATCATAATAACAAATAATAAATACAGAGCATAAAATATTCTGTTATATCCGTATCAATATAATAATTACAATCCGCGGTTAACAGATACGCTGCATAAAGGAAGGTAACTCTGTACATGATTTACATACAATCAATGCCCCTTTCAATATTACGCTTTGAAAAACATAAAAACATTTATATGACAAAAACTGATTTATATGCTGCAATAATGTCTATACACAGACTTTACTATTTCAGGATTGTCATAAAATATATAAAAACATTAATATCATAAATATCATACCAATCTATGGGACTGAGCCTCTCCCATTCATCGTAGTCAATATGGCTCACAGTACATGTATGTCATAAAACTACAAATTATCATAGTTTACATAAGTAAACCTATCATCATAAAAATATCTAGTAGACATATATAAAATAAAAAATATACTTTCAATAAAACAGTTACTCCTTAAATACTGACTCTCAAATCAGATTCTGACTGTGCTAGTGCTATGGAATTAACTTTGGCAAAATTACAGATTTTACAGTTAAATCAAATATTAGAAATCATATTAGAATTAGTATATAAATGTTATCTTACCTTAATAGAGAAAAGTATTGTCTCTGACAATGTCAAAAAGTCGTAAATACAAAACTTAGTAAATACAACCCTCTCTGGACAAATACTGGACAAAGAATGACTATAACAAACAACTTTTTGGAGGGAAAAATACTGAACCAATAAAACACAACCTTATAAAGTCCAAACCAATGAAAACAGTGAATACTTCAAACCAAAGAGCAAAGACCAGAACCTTAATAACCCAAGGCAATAACAATT